CAATCAACTGATCACTGACAGCAAAAAAACATTTTTTTTAAAGACGATAGACTAGCTGAAAGAATATGACATCATATAAATTACGCAAACGTGAAAGCAATCACTAACAATCAATCTATATTTTACATTCTCGACAATAGCTGTAGACGTAATAACGTTAACATACCTTAACAAGCAATGAGCATTTACTATTTATATTGTTATACAGTATGCTTACAACAATTGAGCAAACATAATACTTTCACTTAACAATATTTTATTAAAATGAATTTAAAAAATTGCACCAAATTTTCTTTTTGCACTCTTAACATTAAACGTGAAATGTGTCTGAGCGTGAAACGTGAATCTTCCCTAGTACGTCAGCTAAGCTCTACACGTGCACACGTGAAACGTGAAAAAACTGACACATCAGCAATACAGCAATAAACCGGTAGACTATCGATAACGTTACAAACGTCAGATACGCTGGTATTTCGCGGATAGCTAAACGAGTGATGGACGGATTTTTGTTTTAGAAACTGAGAATGCAAAATATTTTTTCATTTCGTTATTTCAGAGATTTGCTGATTGGTTGTTTTGTGGAAGTGTTGAGTTGTTTTTTTTTTTTCATTTGATTAGTTGTAAACATTTTTTTTTTCTATTTTGATTGATCATTTTGTATTAGTTATTATCAAGTGATATTATGTTCTTTTAGGATTAATGATGAGTAGTGATTCGATACCACCAGAAGTTGTTGAACAATTGCGAAGGTTTAATGAAGCATTAACAATTCTTGAAGATACATATTTGAAGCATTTTTCGAATTCTCTAGAGGAAAATGCTCAGGTTTCCTCTTTCAGTCATCTGTTATTGATACACATATAATACTTCAATCGATTAATTTATTAAATAAATAATACAAGTATAGTAATCGATTTTTTTGGCATATAATTACTTACTAATTTAATAAGCCAGTATAACACATCATTTATTGTTTACTGCATTTCTTCCATTAATTTTCACGTCTTTGTTAGGTAATGAACAAATTTAACCGTGTGCGTTTGCTGATTCATCAGATATTAGTTAACTCTATCAGTATTTTTTCACCAATATGATCCGAATGATCCGAATATCATCGCTTATGAGGAGCGAATTTAAAATATTAAAATGCTAAAGTTGACATATTATAGCCGTATCGGCACTCCTGATAAGTTCACACCAGTCAAGTCGTAAAGTGTTTTTAAATTAGTGACTATTTTTTGCTAACATGTGGAGATCATGTTTTCTCTGCTAAACTACATGTGACTACATCTGATCAACACGTTAAAGCCGTGTCAGCACTGCTGATAACTTCACACGAGTCGATCTACCAGAACTTACCTGAAATATGTCCTTCTTTGATTTTTTTCTCTAATTTCCATTCCTACCATTCTGTTTCTTCTTTCCTTCTGTTCGCCTTTCTTCATACTCTGTCATATCCACTTTTCGACTGAATGGTATTTTTTGGTCGAATTTCGTACCAATCAGTGAGTATAATTTTAGATATTTTAATTACTGCTAACATTTTTGTTAATTACTGCTAACACTTTTCTTATTTTGAATCTTTTCGTGATTCTATATGGGGCAAATTTTAGAGGCCACCGCTGGAAAAATTAGAAATTGACTTGATGTCTGTGTTTGTCATTAATTCGCTATATTGGATGTTGCTCTGCACACATGGACAAAAACCAAAGGAAAATGAAGTTTTGCAAAATGAAATTGTTAGTTTATTTGTTGATTCTTTTTTTTTTTTATCGGATCTTTTTTCTTTTTTATCAGTGATTTTTCTTCACATCCACTTTTTGGCCTAGTGGTATTTCGTCGAGTTTTGTAGCAATTAACGAATATTATCATTACTTATGTTTTTTTTTTTTTTTTTTGTTTTTGGAGGCTGTTTTAATGCATTTTACTTTTTCTCTGTTCTTCCTTCTTACATTCGCTTACCTAATGTTCATTTGTTACTACATTGAGCAAATATATAAGTATTGATTTAATTATATAATATTGTCAATGATTGATTGCGGTAAGTTATTTAGGACCGAACGAAAGAGTATATGGGACGATTGAAACAGCTAGAAGAACGAAAAGCAGCACCTTGTTTGAATCAGCGGGCAGCGAAAAGCTTTGTGCGAAATGCTTTATGGGAACCGAAACAACAGCAGCGGTCAGGCACATCTAATGTAAGCTACTTATTTTCTCGAGTATCACCATGGTGAAGTTGCTTGAACTGATGTATATGAGTATATTGCTATATGTGTTTGCTTAACTAAGCCGAAATGAAATTTTAAGCAGCAAAAAAAAAAAAAAAATGAATCTCTTTTGCATTTCTTTTCTCTATCCTGATTGTGATGAAAGTTTTTTTTTATTTTTCTGAAAGGAGAATGAAATGATGGCAAGTAGTAAATATGAAGTATATGAATTATAGAAATTTCAAAAACCTTTAAATTTTGAGCATCATGTGATTGCCATAATGTTTTCATTGATCTTAGTCTTAATAATTATGTCTTAATGCCAGCATTCCTGTGAGGAAGATGCGGGTAAGGGAGATGAGCAATGTGAAATGGAAAGTGGTAACGATTGTTCGATTTCGTTAGAAGAAGAAGCTGAAATTGGTGAGGAACAGATGGAAGAGGATGAAATAGTTTTCAATTCACATTTAATGAAGAATGCTGTGAAACGATCCCCTCGGGAAGCAAATATTATGATGACAGGAGGTACTCTTCCAAAGAAGAAACGGTTGTAATTGTTGATCTCATAACTGTCGTATTACTGTACTATTGTATATCGCGCTTTCTCTGATGTTTTTCACTCGAAAGATTTTTTTTTTTTTTCTTTTTAAAAGATTTACCAGAAGTTGTTGAAGTAGGACTTTCGTGGATGAAATTTAGTTTTTGCTAACTACTTTGATTTTTTGATTGTTTAGTGAATTGAATTGAATTGATGTTCTCATTGTAAGATATCAGTATTTATGCAGGGTTGCCATCATAACATAGACGTATTATTTCAGGATTTTCATTGGTTTTTTTGAATAATTATTTCTCACTTCTTATTTTACATTTCTTATTTTTTCTTTCTGGAAATAAATGTTTCTGAAAAAATAAGATTATTTTTGCATCAAACTTCTTTATAAAAGTGATATTTATTGCAGGAAGACTAAGATTATTAATTTATGGATTTTTGTAAAGAAAAAATTTCTATTGGAAAAAAGAGTAAGCAGTTGAGTAAGATTTGCATTAACAAATAGAATAATAAATTTCACAAAGTACATAGGGGAATTTATGGATTTTTTTAATGATGAATTAAGCCGACATGCTGCTTAACGGTTAAAATTCATTGAATTTCGCTCGGCAATATTCTATCAGTGAATTTACTTATGTCCAGCAATATTTTCAACAGTAAAAAGCATATATACAATCAGGAAATGATTATTTGAAGAAAAAAGGATTAAAAAGCAACTTTTTCTTTACTGATAATAGTATCGGTTCAATTATATAACTAAATTTCCTCTCATACCGTAATGCATAATTATTTAACCGGAAAGAGGTTGTTATATTATGGAATAGATTGAATGATAGAAATGTTTTCATTTGAGCATAAATCTAACCTTTGCTGATCCATTTTATGTTATTTTTGAACTATTAGAAGAGAATTAGAATAAAGTGGGATTAATTACCTTTGTTATTTTTCAGTATTTCTAAAAGATTAGGTTACATTTCTGCAAGATATTTACATGTTTGGTTATGCTTCAAAAAATATTTCAAATATAATTAATGATAATAACGCTGATAGAAAGATATTATTAATGAAATTGAAAAAGAAAAATTTTCATCTCTCTTTCGCACAAATGTTATTTTTTTCATTACCAACAAACTTGGATGGCATTTAATCTTCATTTAATTTATTTATCTTCTATCTTTAATATATCATTTAACTGTGAAATAATTTATCGATTTTTTTTTTTCTGGTTTGAGATTTTTAAATTGCTCATTAGTTTCTCGACTAAAATCATTGCGTGCAAAGAAAAATAAAACGAAATAGCTTGTGAATTTTCTTGCAAGTGTGAAGAAGTAATAAAGTTAAATGTACAAAGAATTTTACTAAATCATGACATGCTAAAATTTTGTTCATTTACTCAGATAATGGAAATAAAACTTCATTTGGTCACTCTATTAAAATATTGAAATTATTTCATTTTAAGTTTATTTTGCTCATAATTAGCTTCATAACAAAACAACTGCATTTGAAAATTAGATGATCAGTTATGTTTTATGAAAAAAAAAAAAAAAAATTGGAAGAATAATTTATTATTACAGGATATTCAATGTTGTAAATGGTGAGATGAGTGTTGATTAATTATTATAGTTGCTTAGTACTGTGTACTGAAATGTGTAAAGGAAATTATTACTGTAGAATATTTATTACTGTGCGGATTACTGTAGAATATTACCGTATATTGAAATGTATGGTGGAAATAACTTTATTAATATAAAATGCTTAATGGTGAAATATATGGGAGATTTATTACTATAGAATGTTTATTACTGTATGTTGAAATGTGTGCAGGGCTCATTACTGTAGAATATTACTGTGTATTGAAATATACGGTGGAAATAACTTTATTAATATAAAATGCTTAATGGTGAAATATATGGGAGATTTATTACTATAGAATGTTAATTATTATATAGTGAAATGTATGTAGGGTTCATTACTGTAGAGCATTACTGTATAATGAAATGCATATAGGGTTCATTACTGTAGAATACTACTGTATATTGAAATGTATAGAGAAAATAACTTTATTACTGTAGTACTTTATTACAATATATCAAGAAGTATAAGAAAAATTTAAGCATTTTCAATTGATTTATTTTTTTAATGAAAAATGAACTAAATCATTTTCACTTCTAATGAATAAAATCGAAGAAAAAAAAAAAAAAATGGAATGAAAGAAAGAAGGCTTATAAAACAGTGAGACCAAATCATTGCTTTATTTCAGTCAAACTTGTATCACTATCTTTACGAACTGGTCCAGTACCGGCTAGGCTTGAACTATGATACAACTTATACCAGCCAACCATTGGCTCAGAAGTCAATTCTAAATCATCCAATCGGATTTGTGCAATACCCATAAATGATTTCCGTTCCATTCGACCATAATCAGCCATTACTGTTATCTAAAATACTACTTTATGCTATTATAATTTTGTTCATCTAAATTTCCAATTGATCATTTATCTATATTACTGCTACTGAATCAAACTTTAGATTTGATTGATTACTAATTATTTAAATATTCAAATTTTGCTAACCAAGGAGAGAGGTAATTGATCAATTAAAAAGATAAAAAATCAAAATAATTGAAATAATATTTTTTAACTTTTTTTTTTGATACATTTCAATCTAATACCTGAAGCATCTTCTTTCGTGGTGTCTCAGAGAAAACGATATGTTGCTGAAATATCGGTGTAGTGGTCCTTCTTACTGCACGTGTTTTCGCTTTAGCTATGCATTGTTTACCTTCCAACAAATATACTTTAACATACGGAGCTGAAATTAGCTTCACTAAATTATGAAAATCTAAAGTATATCATATTTACTTCATAAATTGTTTGAATCATCTATCAAATATTTTTAATATATACCATGATAATTTCAATAATTTCTAAAAAATTTTAAAATTTATGAAATTTTAATCATATATATATATCCTTAGCACTAATCACATATATGTTAAGAAAATTGAAAATTTTCATTGGTTTATATTGTTTTAAAAGAAATAAATAATATACCTGGATTAACTTTCACACCTGGCTTAACTACAAGATTTTTAGCACGAATAATTTCAACATCAATGCCTGCTCTACCTGATGATATACCTATTTGTATTTCACCAAGTACCGGACTTGCTAAAACTTGTCGACCCACAACCTATAAGCAATATTTGTTTTGCTTCTTCTACTATAACATATAAAATAGATGTAATTAAGGGGAATAATTTACCTGGCCAGGTCCCAAGCTATCAACAAAACTTCCCAATGGACCATCGGTTAAAATTGGTCCCAAACTGAAACGAATATACATTAAAAATTAATTTTCATTTGCATACATCCTTTTATTTTATAATCATAAATGATCAATCGTAAAATAATGTAACTCTTAAACTTAACTTATTTGATTTATTGGATATCGATTTTATCACTAGAAATTTTTAAGAACTGAGCAAATCAAACAAGCATTTTATATCAATGAACTAACTTATCACTATGTGAGGAATCTGTTGATTCCTTTGAAGTTTGCTTCATGAACGGAGCTTGAAGATAATCGCCTGGTACGGTTAAGCCTTCCGGCACACCCACTTCTTCTGATCGTTGAAATCCTGTCCTTTTGCCTTCTTCAAAAAATAACGAAACTGATGCGAGAAATAATTTCAAATAATTTTGAAAACAAAAATCACTCAAATTAATTTTTTAATTAAAATATTTCAATGATGAAAGATATAACTAAGAAGACTATTTTTGCTATATATTGGATTATTTTCATTCCACAATATTGTTTATTGATTAGATATTATCTATCATTAAATCTTTCAGAATGTTTATTAGAATATTAATATGTTTAAGAGTTTACCAAGTGGAGCATTTCTACCCGGAATAAGTCTTGTCATCAAACTTTTTTTACGATCTTTGGTATTTGTGGTAACACTTCCTTTAGCCATCACAGAATCACTTATAGCTCCTTCTTCGATGTATTCCTCTACATTATCATCTAATTGTTGATTCATACTTACTTGTTCACTTTCACCATTTGCTATACGACGTGGTGGTTGCCTTTATGAAAAGGAAAAAAAAAAGCATTAATTGTAATTTAACAGATGTAGTAGTATAAATTATTCAGAATTTTACATAATCAATTTGAATTTCAAAAAATAATTTTTATAGATAGTATTATTACGTAAAAATTTTTAACATATCACGTTTATATTCCAGTATACGAGTTATAATATATGATACCTTGTAGGCATACTCTGTGCTGAATGTATACTTAATGTTTCTGATCCATCACTTCCATATCCAGGTTGCTGCTCATGCATTGCTTCTAATCTTAATCGTTCATTGGGTGATCGTGGATCTCGAGGAAACCTTGTTAGCGCCTGTGCTGCAATTATGCTATACAACATTTATGCCAGTTTGATTCAATCTATTAAGCTAATCAGAATGCTATATGAAGAAGGTAACCTGATTGTGGCATTGATACCTGTTGACCATCTTCCTCATCTGCAACCCATGGAGCTGGTGGCAAATTTCGATTGTAAGTTCGTATATCTGTTACTGGAAATAAATCAAAATTTATTAATATGATAAGAAAAAAAGCACCTTATTTTTTTTTAAAAAAAAAGTTTAAATTTAGGAAATGATTCAATTAACAAAATTGGATTTTATGCTACGTTAGTAAGTTATTTAAAATTTGAAATAAAATTGTTGAATTTGTAAATGAATTATGACAATGAATTAGATGAGTGAAATTAGTTAATTTTAATGAGTGAATTTAATTCAGAATATATTCAGTGACAATTTTTATAGTTTCCAACAATTACGATATCTTAAATACGAAATTTATAAATGAGTTATGTAATAAGTTTGGTAACTAAAATTAGTGATTTTAATGAGTGAATTTAATTCAGAATATATTCAACGATAATTTTGCAGCTTTTAATAATTACCATATCTTAAATACGATACCTCACGATACCTTAAGTACGATATCTTGCGATATCTTAAATACGGTGCCTTACGATATCTCTTAAGTACGATATCTTACAATATCTTAAATACGAAATTTGTAAATGAGTTATGATAATGAATTTGATAACTAAAATTAGTGATTTTAATAAGTGAATTTAATTCAGAATATATTCAACGATAGTTTTGCTATTTATAACAATTATTTTAGCTTAAATATGATATCCGAAATACGGTGCTTTGCGATACCCCTTAGATACGATATCCCAAATACAGTATCTCACGATATCTCTTAAATACGATATCCTAAATACGGTGCCTTACGATATCCCTCAGATACGATATCCCAAATACATATCTCACGATATCTCTTAAATACAATATCCTAAATACGGTGCCTTACGATATCTCTTAGATACGATATATTACGATATCATAAATACAGTACCTCACGATATCTCTTAAATACGGTATCTTACGGCATCTTAAAGGTATTAAAAACAGTACATGGACGCATAGCAGTAGCAGATCGTGGTCTTCTCTCTCGTTGTGAATAACGAACCGGCATATGATTACTGTAACCATGATCGGATAAGTATCCTGATGGATGGGCTACTGTCCAATCTTCCTCAATTCGTGCTCCACTCCGATCATATGTCCGTGATCGACGCATTCCATAATTTGGATGCATCATATATTGCTATAATTTGCAAATGATTTAAACTTTTCTAAAAATTGATTTGAAATAAAGCATAGATTATTATTTTATAAAAAAAAAAATACTAACTTGTCAATCAGATGACAAAAAATTAAAATAAATTCACAATATTTAAATACTATCAATCATTTTAACTTCGCCAGCAAATATAAGCTATTTCGTTTTCTTTTTTTTTTAAAGTTTTATTTTGTTGTTAAATGAAATATTTCTTGAATAACTGTAAGTAAATTTTTTTTCTTATTTCTATACTATCCAATATTTTATAAGTAAACAAAATAATTAGAAGTGAAATGAAAGATTTAATTTACATTCTTCTCTGAAAAATAGAAAAAAAAATTAAAAATACCAAATTGTTTTGATATATAGCTTTTTAAAGTTCTTTTTTTGATATCTACCTTCTTTTAACTTTTTCTAAAAAAAATGATTTAACAATAATTGCTCTACGATATGTTATTCCTTTTCTATTATAAATTATTCAATAAATAATCAAAAATATTAAGTAATACCTGTCGCGATCCAGGATGATAAGCTTCGTAATTAGCCACGTAATCAGTTGCTAAAAATGATAACAATAAAGCTGATAAGATAATTTCTTTCTAAAATACAAAAAATATTGATGTAAATAAATGATTTTTACAGACCACGTTGTTGATGAATGTTTGGATAATGTCCCATTTCACTTTTTGAGCGTGTGGATGCGTGATAAATATTGAGACGACGTTGTTGTAACTTCTGAAATTACTATAATCATGAAAATTCTTCACTATTATAATTTAGATTTATTTTTTAATCCTATCCTGATTTCTGAACTGTAAACATCCTGATCTCTGAACTGTAAACATCCTGATTTCTGAACTGTAAACATCTTGATTTCTGAACTGTAAACATCCTGATCTCTGAACTGTAAACATCCTGATTTCTGAACTGTAAACATCTTGATTTCTGAACTGTAAACATCCTGATCTCTGAACTGTAAACATCCTGATCTCTGAACTACGAACTTTCTAAGGTGCTATTCCTTTTAAATTGCATATTCATCAAATTTAATAATAATGTTATATTCTCATATGCGTTAATTTTAAATGATACTTTATGTCTTTTCAGGATGATATCAATGTTTACAATTATGTTTTTTTTATAATATGAAATAGAAAAATTGTTGAATTCTTAAGACAAAAAAAAAATAAAATAAAATTGAAAAAAAAAAAAAAAAAAAAAAACGATGAAAGACTAACTGCTCTAAGCGGATTATCTTCATCCATATCTACCAATGTATACAAAAATGGTTCATCATCTAACTGAGCAACTGTAAAATCAATCAGCACTTCACCCATAAATGAATTTGTCTCATATTGATCATAATCCCAAACTGTCACCTTAAATTATATTTTAAATAATTAAAAACAAAAAAAATTTTTTTATTTATTTAAATTTTAAAATTTTTCAGCAAATTAATATTGATATTTCAATAATTTCTAAAACAACAAAATGTAAAAATTTTGAGAAAAGCAATAAATCAAGAATTTTGTCTGATTACTTTTGTATAGTATAAATATAATTGTAATTAAAAATTTAAAATTAAAGAAAAAAATGAAATGATAAACCTCCAGAACACGTTCCATTAACGTAGGTTTGGTAAGTCCATGATAATAAAATGGTTCATTCCAGATCGGATTGCATGTTTCTACAAGTACGGCAGACTGTCGACGACTTTTTTCGCTTCGATCCGGTAGAAGAAATAATTTAATATACGGATTACGAGCTGTACCATCCGGTCGTGGTGGTAAATCTATTGCATGTCTTATTGTAACAACAAGTTGCCTTTCTGCCGCACCGTAATATAACGAAATCTGAAATTTTGTATAATTTTAAGCCAATATCCCATAAAAATCATTTTTCAATATTTCACTTCCAATTCCGTAAATCATTTTTCAATATTTCAATATTCATAAAGAAATTTGCAAAATTTTTTAAAAATTTTCAATATTTCATCTTCAAAATAAAATCATTTTTCAATATTTTCACTGTCCAATTGCCTGTAAATGCAATTATTTCAAATATTTCATATAATTCATAAATATTGATAATATGCAAAATTTTTTAAAAATTTTCTATATTTCTCATTTTTTTGAACTTTATCTCAAAAAAAAAAAAAAAAAAATCAAAATCAAAAAAATAAAACTCTTTGAAGAATTTATCATTTCTTTTTCTAAAGAAAAAAGAATTTATCACCTCAATTCGTCCAAAAATCTGTCCTCTTCCAAATTGCCTGCCAGAAAAATCATTAGATGCAATTATTCTTGATGGTCCTAAATTGCTTTTTATAATAATTGTTTATTGTTTTAATTGATTAGCTATATTGTGATAATAATCAATGCAAGAATGATATGAATGATTATTTATCTAAATTTAAATAATAGTAGCTGATATTATTAAAATAATAATTAAAATTTTCAATAAGGAATGAAAGAGAAATAAGAATGAAATGAAACAATTACATAAAATACTTATGTTTATTGTTATAACTATCCAATTCCTGTTCCACCACCTATATTTAAAATTTAATTATTAATTGATATAAAAATTAATTTCAATAATTAAAATTATTAAAGATAATAAAATCAATAATAGATTGCAATCACTATGAAAAAAAAAAAGAAAGAAAAATAAATTCATTTTGATAAAATATATTTAACATAATTATTTAACACAATTCAATTTTCCCACAAACTTTTTATTAATAATTAAATTAGCCTATTTAATTTCAAATATTAATAATTATTTATCTAATAATTATTTCAAAATAAAATATGCAAATGAATAAATCGTTGATATTAATATTAGTATCATTGAAATGATAAAATTATTCAATCAAAAAATGCAAAAAAAAAAGTAAAAATTTATAAAAAGGATGAAAAAATATTTACAATTCTTGTTTTTAATTTTTTGTTTTTGTAGCAAAATTAAAATAATTTTAATTTATTAATATTAAAATTAATATTTTATAGGAATTAATTTACCAGCAGTATCATATAATGGTGATTCGATTGCTTTATGGATCAATGCAGAATTAAAATTTGAATTAATAAATGATTGCATATAAGGTGAAGTGGTTGCTGATTGTGTATGTATGAAACCAGTGGTATCCAATGAATTGTTTAGATAATAATTACCAATTCCTGTTCCACCACCTATATTTAATTTTTAATTTAATTATTAATAATTGATATAAAAATTAATTTCAATAATTAAAATTATTAAAATTAAGTTAATTAAAACAAATTTTCAATAAGGAATGAAAGAGAAATAAGAATGAAATGATACAATTACATAAAATACTTATGTTATCGTTTTCTTTAATGAATTGTTTAGATAATAATTACCAATTCCTGTTCCACCACCTATATTTAATTTTTGAATTTAATTATTAATAATTGATATAAAAATTAATTTCAATAATTAAAATTATTAAAATTAAGTTAATTAAAACAAATTTTCAATAAGGAATGAAAGAGAAATAAGAATGAAATGATACAATTACATAAAATACTTATATTAATGTTTTCTTTTTTTTATTAAATTATTATTTTACATTATTGGATTTAAAATAATTGAATAAAAATATGGAATAAATTAAAATAATTAAAATTATCAACAATATGCATATATTTGAACAGTTATTGTTTAATTCATAATTTAACTTTATTTATTAAAAAAAGTTTTCAATAAGGAATGAAAGAGGAATAAGATGAATTTAACATTTAATTTTGTTTTGATATTTAACAATTATTTCGAGAAAATAATATTGATTTATTTACATAAATTATTAGTTTGTTTTTCTTTTTCTTTTTTGGCTTTGTAAAATTATAATTGAAATTTGAAACGATCAATTATGATAGTATTGAAATTAAAATCAGATATAATTTGTCAATTTTTATTTATTTTATTAATGATTTATTAATAAATGCTAAATGTTAATTTCTTTTTTCACTCAAAATTTAAAAAAAATTTTGTTTTTTCAAAATTTCTCCTAAGAAAATAAGTAATTAATAATTAAATAGAAAAAAAAATTAATTAAACATTATTATTGCAATCTTTTTTCTTTATATTATATTAATAATATTTTCATTTATAATTATTATAGTTATTTTTATAATTATTATTTTCCTTTTTTTCATTTTCTTTTTTTTTGGAAACAGATTACCTTCAATTAATTTATTCCATTTAAGATAATAATAACAATAGTAATAATAATAATTAACAATAATATTACTAAAGATAATAATAATTATAATTAAATAATAATAGAAATAATGAAATGATACAAACCGGTTGGAAGAAATGCCGGATTCGGTAACATCCTTTGTACATTCAGGAAATCATCACCACCGGGTATACTATAAAATATTCAATAATGAATTTTTCATATATGCAAGGAAAAAAAAAAACAACAACAATTATTGCTTATAATTAGAAATTCTTTTTCATTATTTTAAAGTTAATGTGATACAATTTACTTTTTTTTATTCTCTTTCTTTCTCTCTCTTCCACTCTCTCTCTCTCTCTCTCTTTCGCTCTCTCTTTATTAGGGCAAAATTTTATAAATTATAATTTTTAAATAATAAAATATGAATTTAATATATTATCCTATAAGCCAGTTTTTAATTCGATTAATTTCATTTTTTCTTTTTCCTATTATCAAACAAAAATTTAATTTATCTAAGCCATTTGATTGCTATGAAATGAATGATGGATCATATCATTTAATATATGCTATTATTTAGTTTTTCTTGTAATTATATTTTTGAAATAATTCATTTTCAAAAATGTAATATATGCTAATTTAAGTATATCAAAATACATTTAAAACATTTATAATTAAAAATTTGAAATAACTTAAAATAATATTCATAAACATATAATTATAATATGTACATGTATATATTTAAGTACACCACAAAAAATAGATAAATAATTTAAGTATACCAAAAAGAAAAAATTATTTAAAATATTTATAATTAAAAATTTAAAATGAATTAAAATAATATTCATAAACATATAATTATAACATATATATATTTAAGTACACCACAAAAAATAGATAAATAATTTAGGTATACCAAAAAGAAAAAATTATTTAAAATATTTATAATTAAAAATTTAAAATAAATTAAAATAATATTCATAAACATATAATTATAATATGTACATGTATATATTTAAGTACACCACAAAAAATAGATAAATAATTTAGGTATACCAAAAAAAAAAAAATATTTAAAATAACATAAATTAAAATAATATTCAGTAATTTTAAAATTTAATATGAAAAGAAATTTAATTAGAAATAAATTAAAATAATATTCATAGACAAACACAAATATATATGCAATTACATGGACTGCTATCAAATATTAATAGTTGTTTACATAAATGATTAAAAAAAAAAAGAAAAAAAGGGAGCTTTGAATAATTTTTGAACTGATTATCTTATCTAATTAATATTTTAATAAATTTTAAATTTCTAATTTTAAATATCTTTAAATAATTTTTCTTTTCTAATTTAATTTTTGTAAATAATCTTTTATTAATTAAAATACTAATATTAATCAATCAATTTTATCAATTTAAAATGATTCCTTTATTTATTTATGTGTATTAAAAAAATAGGATGTTGAGAAATTATAAAATAAATGTATTTAAAATCAATTAAAATAAGCACTTAAATTAAAAATAAAAAATTATTTAGAAAAAATTAAATTAGAAAAGAATAATTAATTATACTAATAATATGCTAACAATTTTGCTGATAAAATAATACGATTAAAAATTAATATTAAAGATTTGTAGGAAAAAAAAGAAAAGAAATTATTAATAAATTTAAATAAATTTTGAAAAATTTTTTTAACAAATTATATTTTGAAATTAAATCATTATTTATAATTTAATTACAAAATAGAAACAAACACAGAATTTATTTACCTCATTGAACGTGAAACGATCAATTCAACTTGTGTATCATGCCTTGATGAATTGATCGCATCATAAACTTGATCAAATGTTGCATTTTGTAATTGACGACCATTCCATTCTAATACTTCGTCACCTGAAATTATCTAACCTGAAATCATCTTCTTACCTGAAATTATCCCTCTCCCTCTCCCTCTCTGTGTTGTTTTTCTTTTTTTTATTACAGATAATAAATAATATTAAAGTTATGTAGCATTTTGTAATTGACCATCATTCCATTTTAATACTTTATCATCTGAAATTATCCTACCTGAAGTTATCTTACTTGAAATTATCTCACCTGAAATTATCCCACCTGAAGTTATCTTACCTGAAATTATCTCTCTCCCTCTCCCTCTCTCTATGTTGTTTTTTTTTATTACAGACAATAAATAATATTAAAGTTATGTAGCATTTTGTAATTGACGACCATTCCATTCTAATACTTTATCACCTGAAATTATCCTACCTGAAATTATCTCTCTCTCTCTCCCCCTCTCTTTTTTTTTTTTTTTTTTTTGTTACAAATAATAATATTAAAATTGTTTGTTTTTTTTTCTTAATCTTTTTGATACGAATAAACTAAATATTATCAATTGATCATTAATAAATATATATATTTTATCTTATTTTCATATTTTATTATTTTATTTTTTAATTTTTAAAAAAAGTTACATTTATTAAATAATTAACTGCAAAATTTCACAAAAAACAAATTATATATATTTGTGAAAAAAAAAAAAATTATGCGACAAATATTTGTATGACAAACCTTTTCGAAGATGACCAATAGTATCAGCAACAGATCCAGGTTTTACCTGTGTAATAAATGCACCTAAACGACCGGTATCTGATCGTCGACCACCAACAACCTTAAAATAATTATTAATTCAAATAAAATTATTTATATCATTAAATATTAAACTCTAAAAATGATTAATTAGCAATTGATTATTTTTAAAATTATAAATTAAAATTTAGCAAATTTCTAATGAATTACATATTTATATTATTTCTTATTTTGGTAAGGAATAGAAATAATTATTAATTTAAATAAATTTATTTATCTAATTAAACATTAAACTCTAAAAATGAATTAATTAGTAATTGATTATTTTAAAATTATAAATTAAAATTTAGCAAATTTCTAATGAATTATATATTTATATTATTTCTTATTTTGGTAAGGAACAGAAATAATTATTAATTCAAATGAATTTATTCATATAATTAAACATTAAACTCCAAAAATGAATTAATTAGTAATTGATTATTTTTAAATTATAAATTAAAATTTAGCAAATTTCTAATGAATTATATATTTATATTATTTCTTATTTTGGTAAGGAACAGAAATAAGTATTAATTTAAATAAATTTATTCATATCATTAAACATTAAACTCCAAAAATGATTAATTAGTATTTGATTATTTCTAAATGAGAAACTAAAATTTAGCAAATTTCTATTTTATATTTTTATTATTTTATATTATCTCTTGTTTTGGTAAGAAATAAAAATAATTAATTATAACTCATTACGAATATTTCAAATAATATTCTATTCATTTCTAATTTCTAATAAATTATATATTTTATATTTTTTCTTTTGTTTTGATCAGAAATAAAAATAATTAATTATAATTCAAATTATATTCTATTCATTTCTACAATGTTTTTGTTTTTTTTAGCACCTATCGAAAGCATTTTGGGTGGAAAAAAGGAACAAACATTAATTACTGATGGAAATTGATTCTTCTCTCTCCCTTTCTCTCCGTCTCTCTCTCCGTCTCTCTCTCCCTCTCTCTCCTTCTCTCTCTCTCTCCCTTTCTTTTCTCATTTTAAAATAAAGAAAAAGTTTTTGTTGTTTTTAAGATAATTTAAAAAAAAAGCTATTAAACTCTAAAATTTATTAATTTCCATAATTTCTATTTTATTCTCAAAATTCAACCATTGGAAAAAAAATTTTAAGTTTTATTTTTTTTTTCTTTTAATTTCAAAATGCTAAAATTAAAACGATGGTAATTTAGATAATTTGTTGACGAATATAAATTAATGAAAGAAATGGAAAAAATATTTATCAATCATTATTTTATAACTTTTTTTTAAGTTATATTTATGTAATTATTTTAAATTTTAAAATTAAATTATCTTTATGTGATAAAAATTTAAACCATTATCAGTACTATATCATATCAGTAGATTAGCAATTGAATAAGTTTTTTTAAATAAATAAAAATTAATTAATTAGTTAAATTAGATAATTTTTTTATTTAAATTATTTAAAAAATAATTAAACGAACAAATAAATCGATAAATAAATTAAATGAATAAGTAAACAAATAAATGAATAAATTAATAAACAAAAAATGTTAACACAATAAATAAATTATTTTTATTAGACGTTTAATTCTTCGTTTTTTTAAATTGCAAAAAGTTTCTGATAAATTTAAAGAAAAAAAAAAAAGGTTATAAAATGATATTTGATGAAAGATTTTTGATCTTTTTCATTAATTTATATTTGTAAACAAAATAATTTCTTTCCTTAAAAATTTAAAAATTAATAATTATTTAATTTAGTTAATGAGTATTTCATCGTTTACTGATTTATGATTTATACATAAATATTTTATGAATATCCAAAAAAAAAGAAATGTTTTTCCTATTAAACAGTTATTAGAATATTGAATTTTAACAAATAATATTTGTTATCATTTTTTTAAGAAAAAAAATTGGATCAGTGATATGTTATCAGTTGATTTTATCAAACAAAAAGGAAAAAATGTAACAATATTAAGAAAATAATGTTATAAAATACGATCATTTAACCTATGATATCAGTAAGTTATCAACAATAGAAAGATAAAAATATGATTTCGGGATTATTTTCCAAGTATTGTAATAAACCATGATCACTTTATTTATCATATCAGCGTGTTATCAGTGAAGGAGAGATAAAATTATAATTTAGTGATCATTTGCAAATATTGTGATAGACAGTGATCAATTAATTTATCGTATCAGTGAGTTATCAGTAAAGGAAAGATAAGATTAAGCTATGATCATTTTATCTATCATATCAACAATTTATCAATAACAGAAAGATAAAATCATAATTAAGGGATCATTTGCAAATAATATGATAGATTCATTTTACCTATCATATAATAAATTATTTAATTTATCATATCAGCGTGTTATCAATAAAAGAAAGATGAAATTAGGCTATGAACACTTAAACTATTATATCAGCAAATTATCAACAAAGAAAAAACTATAATTAAAGGATTATTTTGCAAATATTGTGATAGACTTGTGATCATTTAAACTATATCAGCAACTTATCAGTAAAGGAAAGATAAGATTAGGCTATGATCACTTAAGCTATCATATTAGCAAATTATCAACAAAGGAAAAATTATAATTTAGTGATCATTTACAAATGCTGTGATAGACCTATAATCATTTAACCTATATCAGCATCTTATCAGTAAAGGAAAAATTAAATTAGGCTACGATCATTTCACTTATCATATCAGCAAGTTATCAGTAACAGAATGATAAAATTATAATTTAGTGATCATTTACAAATGCTGTGATAGACCTATGATCATTTAACCTATATCAGCAACTTATCAGTAAAGGAAAGATAAAATTTGGGCTATGATCACTTAACCTATCATATCAGCGAGTTATCAGTAAAGGAAGAATGAAATTATAATTAAGGGATCAAAATTATATATAAGTAATCAGTCAATTTATCTTTTGTTTTTTTTTTAAATATATGAAATTTCAATATTAATCAATTTTTAGTTAAATTATGAATGTTTAAAAAATAATTTTTAGTCAAATTAACACTTTTAATTTTTTAATTTTTTTTTTTGTTTAAAAGTTATTTTTTTAATTAACAATTTATAGTAAAAATTATTATTAAAAATATGATTTATGTGATATCTAATGAATTATTGAATTAATTGCACACATTTTATACAATCATTTTTCTCAATTTTCCTTTTGTTTTTTTTCCTTTCTCGACAAAAAAAATATTTTTAAAAAATTAAAATAAAATGAAAATTTTAATGAAATTAATAAAACTTACATATTTTTATTCATTCATGTTTGAATTTAAAAAATTTTAATTTTAATCCTTTTTATTTCTTTGCTTTTTCATCAAATTAAATCATAACTACCTGTCTTCTGCTTCTCGTTTTTTTAATTAATTAATTAATTAATTATTAAGGGTAAAAAATTGAAATATTAAATTAATGAAAATTAAAAAGTTAAACCTTTAAGCCAAGATCACCATGTGTACCATTTGCTTTATGCAATATCATATGACCGATTAGACGATGTTGATCTGCTGATGGTTGCCAGGTTACCGGATGCTTAATTTTTAATAAATTTTAAAATTTCAAAAAAAAAAAAAAAATTTAATATTATAAACTTTTTTACATCTCAATAATAATTATTAAATAAATCAAAAAAAAAAAAGTTTTTGTTAAAATTAAATTATTTATTCATAGCAGTAAAAATTTTAAATGTATTCAAAAAAAAAAGTGAAATAAGAATCATTTTTTTCACCTAAAATTAAATTTTGCTTTTTTTTTTTGAAAAAAATTAAATTAAATTAAATTAAAAAAAAATTTACAGAAAGATAAGTGCGTATTTTAGCTGCAAGCATATCACCAGGTAAAATTGTTGATTGTATCATTGGCGCATTTATCACTTCGTTACTGCGTTGAAATTTACGATTTGAATCAGATAAAACTAAAAAAAAAAAAAGTTAAAAATTTAAATTTAAATTGAAATTGAAAAAAAATTAATTTGTGTATATGTTAATAATATTTTATTAAAATATATGATAAATTATTACAGTTTATAATGATAAATTTTTTTTAATTATTGAGAAATTTTAAAATTTAATTTTAGAACAATGATATAATTAATATTTTACATTTGCGAATTATTTAAATTCTTTCAATTTTAATTTAATTTTTTTTAAATTAATATATTTCAAAAAATTTTGTTAATTAATCATTTATTATTTAATGAATTAATTATTGTTATTATTGTTTAAAAACGATTAATGACAAAAATTTTTTAAAATTAATTTTTACAACGATGTTATAATTAATATTTTACATTTGCAAATTATTTAAATTATCTTTTCCTTCAATTTTAATCTTATTTTATTTTCAAATAATATATTTCAAAAATTTTTTAAAATCAATTTTACAATATTGCTATATTAATATTTTAAGCCTCCAAATTATTTAATTTATCTTTTCTTCCAATTTTACTATTATTTTTTCTCTAAATAATATATTTATTTATTTTAATAATATAGTTTAAAAATTTTTTCTAATTAATTATTTATTATTTTATAAAATAATAATTATTATTTTTTAATGCAAACACCAATATTTGTTCATACTTTTTTTATGAAATGTAAAAAATGAATTATTTAAATTAATTTAAATTTAAACTAAACAATTATAACAAAGAATGTTGCACTAACATAAATGTAATTAATTAAGCTTATCATTCATCAAATTTGTTTATTAATCGATTTAAAATGTGATTAAAATTTTAGTAATAGATTAATCCGTTAGCATAAACAAATTTACAAATGCGATTTGTTTAAATAAATTTAAATGAAATAATATGAAGCGATGAAATTATTTATAAATCATTTCAGATTTACAAATTGATAACTTTAAAATAAACCAACGATAAATGAGTATAAAATATTATTTGCTCCTTCTTTAAACAATATAAAACTAATAATCACAACAATCTTATTTTAAATTTTAAAAAATTTTTAAATTTAAAAATTTAAATTTATAAATGCCAGGAAAAGTGTATAATTTTAATTGTATGATAAGATATGATTAAATTTCACTGATATAATTAATTAACTTTTACTTTTCTTTTCATTTAACAAACACAAATATATATAAAAAAAAAAGTTCAAAATTATTTAATATTTAATACTATTTTAGCAATCGAATAATTATCACTTAAAATTAAATTTTACAAAAATTAGAAACAAAAAAAAATAAATTAAAAATTATAATAATATTAATAAATGTAATCAAATAATATACAAAACTCTGCTTAGTTTTGCTTTTCTCTTAAAGAATTATTTACTTAAACTATCTCTCTCTCTCTTTGTCTCTCTCTCTCCTTTTCTTAAAAAAATTATTTAATTAAAAAATTGAAAATGATAGCAAAAAAAGATTGAAATTGAATTAAAATTTTGACAACTTGCAAATTTATTTACAAATTAAAATTTAACAAAAAAAAAAAAATCAAACTTTTGTTGCATAGCAAAATAATATCAAAGAGAAAAAAAAATAAAAAATAAAAAAAAGCTTTTATTTTCTTTATTTTTTTTTGTTTTCTTTAAATTTTTTTTCTAAATAAATAGGAAAAATTTTCAAATGAATAACAAATGAATGAATAAAATCTGTCAATTACAATTTAAATAATTAAATAATAATAAATTATTTAATTAGTTAATTAGGCTATGAAAAAAAAAAGCATTAATGCATTTTTTTTTGTTTTTTCCATTTAAATATTATTAAATTATATAATTTTTTGAGCAAAAAATGCAGCAAATAAGTGTAAAAATTTCAATTACCATTTTTAAACTAAAAAAAAAATTAAAAAATAAACTAAAAAAAAAGTCTCTTAAAATTTAAAAAAAATTATTTTCTCAAAAAATTTTTATATTATAAAATAATCATGAAATAATTGGAATTTATATTAATATTTGATAATGAATTCAGTAATTAAATTTGAATTTAAAGCCTTTTCAAATAAAAGAGATCTCTTTTAAATTTAAAAAGAAAGTTTTATTTCCAGAAATTTTATAATATAATTATGCGATAATTGGAATTTATATTAATATTTGATAATAATTTCAGTAATTAAAAGTTAAAATTTGAAATTTAAGGCTTATTCAATTTAATTTCTATGAAATTTTTAAATGATTTCTTTTAAATTTAAAAAAAAAATTTTCCTTGAAAATTTTTTATATGATAATAAAATCATAAAATAATTGGAAATGATTTCAGTAATTTAAAGTTAACATTTCGAATTTAAAAGTCTATTTTATTAAAGAAAAAAATTTCCTTTTAAATTAAAAAAAAAATTTTATTTGTAGAAAGTTTAAAATATAAGCATGAAATAATTGGAATTTATATTAATATTTGGTAATAACTTCAGTAATCAAAAGTTAAAATTGAAATTTAAGGCTTATTCAATTTAATTTCTATGAAATTTTTAAATGATATTTCCTGCAAAACTAGTTAATATCAATTTTTTCAATTTTTTTTAAAATTTTTTTTAAAAAAAAAGTATTAATAATAGCATTTAACAAATCATTCATTCTATACTTAAATACTTATTAATTAATTTTATTTTTAATAAAGTAAATATAATTGTGCTAAACAAAAAAATTTATAAAATTTTGCTTAAAAAATAATTTCAATTTTTTTTTTTTAAATTTTTATAAAAGAAAAAAATTTATCAGTTGGTATTGACATTTGTTTATAGATGCATGAAATTTTTTCATTTGCAAAAATAAAATGTGTCAATAAAATTTTAATGTAAAAAAATTTTTTTTAAAAAAAAAAAGAAATAAATTTAAAAAAAAAAAAGAAAATGTATGAAATGATTTTAATAAGAAAAAAATTAAACTAACATTTACGTCCATTTCGCATTTTTTGTGAACCATAAATATACCTTAGAATATCTGCAAATTTAATAATAATACTAAAATTATTAATTATTATTTTCGAAATTAAAATAATCATTTTAAGGAGTAGTTAAATTAATTAATTAATTAATTAAATTTTATATAACAATATAAATGAAACCTTTTTCAAAACTAATTTCTGTACCAATTTGTGGTACCATTTCTTCATTATTACCATTTGATGTTGATGGTAATTCATCCTCAGACGATGACATCGAATGAAGTTGTCTGTAAATTAAATATTTAAATTTAAATTTACTTAAAATGAAAGTAATTAAATTATTATTAAAAATTGAAGACATAACAGTGATTTAAATTATTCTCTAAATTTTGATCTAAAAAAAGAAATTCTTTTGCTTATATTTATTGCTAAGAAAAAATTTAATAAAACAGAAAAAATAAAATTTTCACCAATTATTATAATAGTTATTTTGCAGAAAAAAAGAGGTCAAATGTCAATGATAAAAATTTTTTGAAATTATTGTGTATTTGTCAATTCGATTTTATTCAAATTTTCATGATTATTATTTCATATGAAACTTTGATAAACAGAATTATTTGTTTAAATTTTATTGTTGTTTTAAGCAAAAATATTTTGTTTAAAATTCATTGAAATAAGAATTATGCAAAAACACTGATAAGGGATCGATTATCATTTAGTAATGATAAATGAAAAACAAAATTAGTAATGATAATAATAATAATTTAGTAATGATAAAAAAAAATGATATGATAAAACTTATTTAAATCAGTCTGAATAACACATAAAAATATTGATAAATAGTTGATTAGCATTTAGTAAAATTGTTTTGCTAAAGTTTAGTTTAATCAGTTTAAAGCAATAAATAAACAAAGATACTGATAAATACTTGATTTAGACTTAGTAAAATTATTTTGATGATATGATAAAGCTTAGTTTAATCAGTTTAAATGACAAATAAACAAGGATACTGATAAATAGCTGATTAGCATTTAATAAAATTGTTTTGCTAAAGTTTAGTTTAATCAGTTCAAAGCAATAAATAAACAAAGTTACTGATAAATATTTGACTTACACTTAGTAAAATTATTTTGATGATATGATAAAGTTTAGTTTAATCAGTTTAAATAGCAAATAAACAAAGATACTAATTATTAATAAATAAGCTTCAAATAAAAAAAAAAATAAACAAAATATAAACTAATGAATATTTAATGACCAATTCTAACCTTGAAAGTCTTATTTTTCGTCTTCCTGTTGTTGAGAATACACTACTACTCGTTGCCGATGGTAACGGATTAACTTGTTGCTAGAAAAAATAAAAAATAAAATTACAAATATTTTTTAAATTTTAAAATTTAAGTCTTATCAAAATTTTTATGCCTAATTCTTATCAGTATGTTTAATTACTATTTCACTTTATCAATAATTATCATTATTAACATACTTCAGCTTCAGTTGGTGAATTAATTCGTTTAGAATCACTTTCACGTACGATACGTGAACGACGTAATTCAGCGCCACCACCCGAATTTACGCTAACAACAACAGTGGAACAAGTATTCCTAAACAAATAACACATAAATATTTTTCTATTTTTTTTTTTTTGTTTATACTTCAAAAATTTATATAACAAACAGCTTTCACTCTTTTTTTTTCAAATTTAATTATTTAATTAATAAATTTTATATTTTTCAAAATTTAATTACTTAATTAATTAAAAAAAATAATAATAATTAATATTATAAGTGAAAAAATTTAATTTAGCCAAAATAAATGAAAAGAAAAAATGTCATTTTTATTTCAATATTTTAATAATTAATTTTTATATTAGATGAAAAAAAAAAAAATTTTTTTTTTTAAAAGAAAATAATTTAACGTTTTAAAATGAATCAAAAATCGAGCAAACTAAATATATTTGATGTCATACACTTAAATAAATGGCATCATTTCCGCTACTGAAATATAAGCAATAAAAATCAATTTTTTTTTTTTAGAAAAAAAACGAATAAAACAAAAATAAAAAATTTAAAATTAAAAATTTCATTGCAATTATAATAGCTAATTTAATATATAACTTATTATTATTATTATTATTATTATTATTGTTATTATTATAATTAATACTATTATTATTATTATTATTATTATTAATATAAGTTTTATATAAATTAAACAAACTAATATTGCGATGATTTAATGTCATTTTTTTTTTTGAATTGAATTTCAATTTGTCAACTAAATTGCTTCTATCAAACAATTTATTCACTAATTACTTATTAACATTTTTTTATTTGCTCATTAGCACTATAAACAAGAAAAAATGTTTATATTCGATGATATCATTTTTATTTTTATTTTTTTTTTAATAAATATTTGTTATTATTATATTAATTTATATAATTTTTTTTTAAATCATTTATTTCAAAAAAATACGAATAAATAAATAAATAAAAATGATAAAAAAAACAAAATACAAAAAAAAAATGGAATAATTCTTAGAATTTTAAATTTTTTCATTTAATTTAATATCTTTAATTTTTTTTTATTACTATTGTTATCAGTGATAACAGTATTAGAACTTTTTATTACTATTATCAGTGATAACAGTATTAGAACTTTTTATTATTACTATTATCAGTGATAACAGTATTAGAACTTTTTATTATTAATATTATCAGTGATAACATTATTATAATTTTTTATTATTATAAGTATTATCAGTGATAAAAGTATTATTACTAAAATTTAAAAAACAATGATTTAACAAATAAATGCATCTCACATGCATTTTATGTCAAATATGTTAGTAATAAATTATTTAAAAAAAAAAAAGAATTTATAAATTTTACAAAATAAAAATGAAATTTAGACAAAAACCAAAAACAAAAAAAAAAAAAAGAAAAGAAAGCAATGAATAATTTGAAGATAAAAATGATAAAAATGATAGAATGAAATGCAAAATGTAATTTGATCAGATTAAATTGATATGAAAAGATTTTTTTATAAAATTATTTTAGATATATGTAAAATGAAATTTGATTATGAATTTTTCCTTTCCTTTTTTTTTTCATTTCATTTCATTTCATTTCACTTTTTTTCTTTTTTTTTGTTAATAAGCTTATATAAGTGATGCAATGACTATTTTATGCTATCCATTTTCATTTAAATTAAAAAAATTTAAAAAAAAATTTTTCGTTTTCATTTTTCATTGTGAAAAATTAAAAAAAAAAAAATGGAAGAGGAAGCGAAGGAGAAGAATTTTTGCAAAATTTCATTTTTCATTTGTTGTATAATTTTTCTTTTCAATTTTGAAATTTAGAAAAAAAAATTTATGCAAAAGTTATTTTTATTACTTTCTGTCTTTTTTTTTATTTGTTTATTTTTTTTGACTCAAAAAAAAATTAGAATGGAATAATTTAAAATAAAATTAATTTTGAATAAATTAAAATAAAATTAATTTTAAAAAATGGAAAATAAATTTCAATTGATATAAAAGAAAAGAAAATGAAATATTTGAATAAATGAAATCATTAAAAAAAAAAGAAAAAAAGCTATGAAATTTATTATTTCTAAAATATCATTGAAATTTTTTATTTAAGGAAAAAAAAAATTTTTAATTTAAGATGCAATTTTATATTTATGTATTTGAATTATTAGATATGACAAAATTGAAAAATAGATGGAATAAATTAATGAAATAATTTGAAATAAATAAATGATTATATTATAATTAAAATTTCTAAAATTTGGAAATTAATTTATCAAAAAAAGAAAATAAATAAAAATTCTTTCTGAAATATTACTTAAAATTTAATTACTAATGAATGAAAGTGAGAAGTAATTTATTTAAAGTATTAAACTTTTTAAAAATAATTTCAACGATGAAGAAAAAAATTTACAATTATAATATTTTTTTGAAATTATTTTAAATGAATTTAAGTACAACTATAATTAAATTAATGAAATTTTAATTATTATGAAGAAGGACAAAAAAATAGCGCATTTCATTTTAATTTAGTAAACTTTTCATTTGGCAATAATTTTGATAATTAAAAATTGTTATAGCTTATTGATTATTTATTGATAACTGATATTATCATATTTACTATTTATATTTATTTACTATTGATATTTATTTACTATTCATTTACTATTTATATTTATTTGCTGTTTACTATTTATTTACTATTTATATTTATTTGCTATTTACTATCTATATTTATTTAATATTTACTAATTATATTTATTTACTATTTATCTACCATTTATATTTATTTACTATTTATATCTATTTACTATTTATATTTATTTACTGTTTACTACTCATTTACTGTTTATATTTATTTACTGCTTACTATTTATATTTATTTACTATTTATATTTACTTACTATTTACTATTTATCCACCATTTATATTTATTTACTATTTATATCTATTTACTATTTACTATTTATATTTATTTATTGCTTACTATTCATTTACTGTTTATATTTATTTTCTATTTATATTTATTTACTGTTTACTATTCATATTTATTTACTATTTATATTTATTTACTATTTACCATTAAAAAATCTACTGTAAGATACTGTAATTTTTGATGCCATAAATAAATGATAATGATAATAGTTTTTGATAATGATATAGAAATAAATTTAAATCAATTTTAAAATTTTGAAAATTGTTATTTCTTTTTTCTGATTAAATTTTATTTTTGTTATATTTCAGATAAAATATTATAAATAAATAAAAAATATTTTTTAAATATTTTAATGTTAGTTTGCTATTATAATATTTGTTAAATTTAATTTTTATTTGTTAAATATTTGTTCAATTTAGATTTCATTTAAAATTGATGCGAAATATTTTTTGTAATATTTTAAAAATTTTATGCATGCATGTCAGAATGAATGTTTTCTTTTCTTTTAAATTTGAAAAACAAAAAAAAATTGTTATCAAATTTAAAATAAACAAAATTTAGAACAGATATGATAATAATACATACTTTTCAGGTTGTATACCACTTTCCATTTCTTTTTGCTGTCGTTCATCTCGATTTACAATATCTGATTTTTCTCGAGATTGATACCTTGAAAGAAAAAAAAAATTCTCCTCTAATTATTTTAATTAAAATAATTTGAAATGAAAAAATTTTCATATAGAATTAAAGTAAATATAAGTGTTAAATGTTATATTAACAAAAAAAGTTGTTTTTTTTTTTTGTTTATTTCATTTTAAATGTAAATTAACAAATAAATTTGTTGTTAAATATTTAATTTCATATTTTTATTAATTCAAATTGATAAGAAATTTTGTTTTAAATTACTTTTTTTTTTCTTTTATTAATTTAAAATAAATTATTGTTTATAACAATTTTAACAATAATTGAAACAAATTTTTTGCTTTTTTTTTCTCAATAATAATATTTGTTGTTGTTTTTGTTTTTTTTTTTTTCATTCGAAATTTAATAATGAATGAATGAAATAGAATTACAAATAAATTCAAATATCTTTTTTTCATACCAAATAAAAAATTATAAAATTATACCTATCATTAACGTGAAAAGACGTATCATCACGTGATTGTTTATGACTTATACTACCGCTACTTACACGTCTATAATATAAAATCATACAATATTACTATAAACAATTTTTTTTGTCTCTTTTTAAAAATTATTTTAAAAAGTAAAAATAAAATTTAACAAAAATCATTTAATATTAATTATGATTTAAAGTAATTTAATTATTTTTTAAAAATTAAATAAAACTACCTTTGATTTTGATCATCAAATGATCTACCAGGTTGTTGTTGTTGTTGTTGTTGTTGTTGTTGTTGTTGTTGTTGTCGTAATCTTTCAGGACTTTTAGTCCTATTCTTCTTTACATAATCATATTCAGTGGTTAATTTATTTTGCAAAAATTTTTTATCATTGATTTGTTGATTTGTTTTAGTTTGTTGTGATGATAATTTATAATCAGTTGGTATCATTTGATCAAAACTTTCAGCACTTATCGATCGATCAGCTGAACATTCATCTAAATCATTGTGTTGTTTTGAGCTATCATGTTGATGTGTTGTGATAGAATCGGTTGTACCATTTCGACGTTCCGTCTTAAAATTTAAGAATTATTTATTTCCGGAAAATTTCTCATATTTTCATAGCATTTCAATGTTTCGTCTAAGGTACAAGTATTATTTATTTCCGGAAAATTTCTCTTATTTTTGTAACATTTCAACGATTTGCTTAAGATATAAGTATTATTTATTTCCGGAAAATCTCCCTTATCATCATACCATATTAACGATTCGTCTAAGGTACAAATATTATTTATTTCCGGAAAATTTCCCTTATTTTTATAACATTTCAACTTTTCGTCTAAGTTACAAATATTATTTATTTTTGGAAAATTTCTCTTATTTTTATAACATTTCAACTTTTCGTCTAGGTTACAAATATTATTTATTTCCGGAAAATTTCCCTTCTTATCATAACATTTTAATGATTCGTCTGAGGTACAAATATTATTTATTTCCGGAAAATTTCCCTTCTTTTGCACAAAAATTTCAATATTTCGTCTAAAACATAATCATTATTCATTTCCGGAAAATATTTCCTTATTTTTTTCCTGTAAACATTTTTTTTTTCCTCTAAATAACTTAGCAAATGAGTGTAAATAAAAAGTTACAGAAATTAGAAAAAAAAAATTTTTACCTCAAGAGATGGTTGTCGTAAAAGTGTCGTTTGTCGTTTAATGGTTGAATTTACCGGTTTACGTGTTAGCTGTGATCGTTCTTGCTTTACCGGAACAGATTTTTTAGCATCGGAATGAATGGTTATGGCTGATGATGATATTTGCATATTTGAGCCTAGGCCAGCAGATGTTACCAAAGATGATGAGGCATTATTGGCTGCTCGTGTTGTTGGACTTATCATACTGCTCTTACGACTCATCGATGATACTGGTGTTCGTGGTGCAGAATAGGTAGGACTTTAATATAATACTTTTTTTTTTTTTATCAAATATTTTAAAAATTTAAAAATAAAAAATTTGCTCATTGCATTTATATTTTAAAAAAAAAAATTTAATATTATTATTTCAGTCAAACATTTGAAAAACTTAAAAAATGAAATTTGCTCATTGTATTTATATTTAAAAAAACTTTAATATTATTATTTTCAGTCAAATATTTAAAAAATTTAAAAATGAAGTTTGCTGAATAAAAAACTGAAATTTTGATAAAAAAAAGGACATAAATAGTATTTGTATTTAAAAAAACTTTAATATTATTATTTCAATCGAATATTTAAAAAATTTAAAAATAAAAAATTTGCTCATTCTATTTATATTATAAAAAAAAAACTTAATATTATTATTTCAGTCAAACATTTGAAAATTTTAAAAATGAAATTTGCTCATTGTATTTATATTTTAAAAAACTTTAATATTATTATTTTCAGTCAAATATTTAAAAAATTTAAAAATGAAATTTGCTGAATGAAAAAACTGAAATTTTGATAAAAAAAAAAGGACATTACATTTTAAAATTATAAATAGTATTAATATTTTAAAAAACTTTAATATTATTATTTTCAGTCAAATATTTAAAAAATTTAAAAATGAAATTTGCTCATTGTATTTATAAATTAAAAAACTTTAATATTGTTATTTCAATCGAATATTTAAAAAATTTAAAAATAAAAATTTCCTCATTGTATTTTTATTTTAAAAAATATAAAAACGATTAAAAAAGTATTTTATTTTCACAATTTTTTTTCTTTTTTAAATTCATATTATTTAATAAAATTAAATTTCTAATAATAAGTAAAAAAAAAAATAATATTTTATTTTTTTTTCATTTTTCTCATCTTTCCATTATTTTTTCTATCTTTTTCTTTTTTTTGGCTCAGATAATTTTAATCATTGTGGAAAAAATATAGAAAATTGACTTTAACAATTGCTAGATGGATGAAAAAAAAATTGGCCTAGCAACTATAGAAATTGGAAAATTGGCCCAGTAAAATAGCCAAAAATAAAAATGTAAAAGTATCAGGCAATTCAACCATACAACAAAATTCATTTTTTGCTTTCCAAAAAAAAAAAAAAATGAAATCATTATTAATGTTAATAACGGAATAGTTTAAGCTTAAAAATAAAGTAATGCCTAAGTTATATATGCAAAAAGTAAATAATCAAGAAGTAAATAAACATATAAAAAGTAAATAAACATGTAAAAAGTAAATTATCAAAAAGCAAATAAACATGCAAAAAGTAAAAAATCAAAAAGTAAATAAACATGTAAAAAGTAAATAATCAAAAAGCAAATAAACATGCAAAAAGTAAAAAATCAAAAAGTAAATAAACATGTAAAAAGTAAATTAAAAATATTAATAATAATAATGAGTGATTTTTTAATAGTAATAATTAATAATTTTTGAATAATAATAAGTGATTTTTTAATAATAATAAGTAATTTTTGAATAACAATAAGTGATTTTTTAGTAATAATAATTAATAATAATAAGTGATTTTAACAATATTTTTCTTTAATATTAATTAACTATAATAAGTGATTTTTTAATAATAATATTAACAAAATAAGTGAATTTTTAACAATAATAATAAGTGATTTTAACAATATTTTTCTTTAATATTAATTAATTATAATAAGTGATTTTTTTAATAACAATAATAATAATATTTAACTAGCCTAATTAATTATATTCTATTCTATTCTAATAATAAAACAAAATTTAAAGTCCAACCTTATGTCACCTGGACTAGCTGTCCCTTTAGCTTCATCAGCCATTGCAGCTTGTTGAAACCATTTGCCAGTTTTAGCAAGAATTCGTTGTCGTTGTTGGCACAATGAACACGCCCAAATTGGCTTTAAAAGTTTTTAATAATTAAAAAAGTAAACAAAGTTGGCTTTAAAAAAAATTTTTTTTGATAATTAAAAAAGTAAACAAAGTTCACTTTAAATAAAATTTTTTGATAAAAAAGTAAACAAAGTTGGCTTTAAAAAAGAATTTTTTTTGATAATTAAAAAAGTAAACAAAGTTGGCTTTAAAAAAAAATTTTTTCGATAATTAAAAAGACAAACAAAAATTATTGCTTAATAATTTTGAAATTTTTATTATTATTACTAATCATTTTATTATTATTTATTGTTATTAATCTTTTTATTATTATTACCTAATATTATATAAAAATATATATTGCTTATATATTAATCATTTCTGGATAGATATTAGTAATTAGCGCAATTGTCCTATAAAATAAAATTTAAAATTAGCACTAATTTTTTTTTTTTTATTTCTTATCAAATTTCTAGCATTTTTAATAACTTATAATTATTAAAATTTTTTTAAATAGAATAAATATACACTTTGGAATAAATATTTTTTTTTCTTGAAATTAACTGAAAATAAAAATTAAACTTTTAACAGTTAATTAAACCAATGTTTATCATTTAAAAATTAATAATTAGAAAACTTAATCATACTTCAGTCATCCTATTATTTTCCAAAAAATTATATTTCCTTCCTAAAAAAAAAAATTTAATCAGTTGACAACGAATTTTAAAAAAAAAAAAAAGAGAAAAAAAACAGTTATTTCAATTAGTAAATAAAATTTGTAATGTTTGCAAGTAAAATTACAATAAATATAAATTGCAAAAATTTTAATTTTAGAATACATCGAAGATTTTACTTCACAGTTTAATAATTTAATTGCTAAAAATAGCTAATATTTCATTGTTTACAAAATAATTAAATATACGTAAATATGCATTTATTTATTTGTTTATTTATTTACTAAATTAAATAAAACGAAAATTTTAATAATAATACAAAATTTTGATACAAATAATTCTGATACGAAAAATTTTAATAAATAATATAAAATTTTGATGCAAATAATTCTGATACGAAAAATCTTAATAAATAATATAAAAATTTGTTGCAAATAATTCTGATACGAAAAATTTTAATAAATAATATAAAAATTTGATTTAATTAACATATAAAAATCAAAGATATTATTATTGAAACAGTTTATTTGTTTTGTTTATTTATTTTTTTTGTTTACTTTTTTGTTTAAAAAAAAAAAAAGTGAAATTCTTTAAATTTGACTAACTTTATTTCTACTTGCCGTACGACCACCACAACGAGCGCACGATCGTAATTGACAATAAAAGCATTTGTGACCAATGCCATCTGCAAATTTAGTTTTTTGACAAATTTGACAGATGGCATCATCCTGTGTACCAACAAGACGTTGTGCAATCTCTTTTCGTTGATTGATTTGCTTTTCGATTGCTTCCAATTCTTCATCTGCTTTTCTATAAAAATGAAAGAAAGACAGAAAAATAAATAAATAAATAAAAATTAACAATAAAATACATATTTTCACTTTTCTTTTTTGTTTACTTGTTTGTTTGTTTACATTGAATTACAAATTATTTGTTACATTTCATTTTTTTTTTAGTTTGTTTACATTAAATTATCAAATACTAATTACATTCATTATTATTTTTAATCAATTTTTTTTTGTTTGCTTATTTATTTGTTTGTTTACATTAAATTACCAAATACTAATTACATCCTTTATTATTTTTAATCAATTTTTTTTGTTTACTTATTTATTTGTTTGTTTACATTAAATTACCAAATAAATTGAACCTTGCCAACTATTTTTAATCAATTTTTTTTTTGTTTGCTTATTTATTTGTTTGTTTACATTAAATTACCAAATAAATTGAACCTTGCCAACTATTTTTAATCAATTTTTTTTTGTTTGCTTATTTATTTGTTTGTTTACATTAAATTACCAAATAAATTGAACCTTGCCAACTATTTTTAATCACTTTTTTTTTGTTTGCTTATTTATTTGTTTGTTTACATTAAATTACTAATTATTAGTTGCATTTTTCATTATCTTTATTCAATTTTTCTGTTTTGTTTGTTTACATTGAATTATTAATTACTAGTTACATTTCTCATTATTTTTATCCAATTTTTTTTGTTTGTTTGTTTATTTGTTTACATTAAATTACTATTTATATAGTTACATTTTTCATTACGTTTATTTTACTATTAAATTTGATTAAAATAAAGAAAACGGAAAATTTATCGTTGCTCAAATTTGATTAATGATTTTCAGTCTTAAAATCAAAACATATATATGCAGTTTTTTTTTCAAAAATTTCAATTTCAAATTTTTTTATTTATTAAAATTCTATTTTTTTCTCTTTTAGCAAAAAGAAAAAAAAAAAAGATTGTTTTCAAAATTATTTAATTTTTATTAAAAATTGTTATTTTATGGTGTAAAAAATTGCATCAAATAATCATTTATTAAAATAATCATTTGGTCTAATTATATTTTTATTTTTAAATTTTGCATTTCATCTGTAAAATATATATTTTTTAACTTTTAAACAATATTTTCAATTTTTACAATTCATCTGTAAAATATCTAAATGATTAAATAAGTAATTTAAAGTAAACAAAAATGATTGGGCAAGCAATTTAAATAAGCCAATTTTGATTAAATAAAAGTATAATTTTTACAGTTTTATTTTTTAATTACTTTCGTAACAATTGTTTACAAATAAACTAATAATTTACTTGTAAACAATAAGTGGAATTAGAAAAATAGAAGAGAGTGAAATGATGAGATGAAAATGAAATTTGAAAAAAATTTACTCTTATTTGAAGCTAAACTTATCAGAGTTGTATTTTCTCAAATTTTATCACTTATCATTAATTCGATAACAACAACCAAATTCTAAATTAAAATTAAAAGTTGTTTACTATAAAAAGAAAAGTTGTTTATTATAAACAAATAATAAACTCTATATTAAAAATAATAAAAAAAAAAACGATTGAAAGTTAAATCTAAATGAAAATTAAAATTAACTATTATTATTTAGTAATACTTAATATTAGCAGTATTAATTACTAGTATAACTCTAACTTTAACTTTTAACTATTATTATTTAGTAATACTTAATATTAGCAGTATTAATTGCTAGTATAACTCTAACTTTAACTTTCAACTATTATTATTTAGTAATACTTAATATTAGCAGTATTAATTACTGGTATAACTCTAACTTTAACTTTCAACTATTATTATTTAGTAATACTTAATATTAGCAGTATTAATTACTAGTATAACTCTAACTTTAACTTTTAACTATTATTATTTAGTAATACTTAATATTAACAGTATTAATTACTAGTATAACTCTAACTTTAACTTTCAACTATTATTATTTAGTAATACTTAATATTATCAGTATTAATTACTAGTATAACTCTAACTTTAACTTTCAACTATTATTATTTAGTAATACTTAATATTATCAGTATTAATTACTAGTATAACTCTAACTTTAACTTTTAAAATATTTCAAAGAAAAATGATTTACTGGCTAAGTTGTGTTTCTTTCTCCTCTTCAGCACGTTGTCGTTGAAGTACTTCCTCAATAATTTGTCGTTCTTCTGCACTTAAATGTGACAAATCGGGCGTGGGTGGTTCAGCCATTTTTGCCCTTTGACCCGTTTAGCAATTAAAGGCCTAAAATTATTCAATTATTACTTTCCTTCTTTCTTTTTTTGAAATTAACCAAAATAATGCTTAATTAATAGATAGCATTGAAAGATACACAATAAAAAAAAATTTTTTTTCTTTAAATTAATTTTTAATTTCTTTTTTTTTTAAAAAAGATATTTTTTAATTTTTCCTTTTTTTAAAAATATTAATTTTTAATTTCTTTTTTTTTAAATTCTTTTTTTTTTTTACAAATTAATTCTTAGTTTTGTTCTTGTTTTTTTTTTTTTTGAAATTTTTTGCAAATTATTAATGCTTAGTTTTTTTTTTTGGTTTGATACAAAAAAAATTGTAAAAATTTTAAAACTTTAAAAAATTTTTTTTAGTAATAAACTAAAATTGAAGAAATTAGAAAAAAAAAAGGAAGGAATGATTTAATATTGTTTATATAAGTTACAATTAAACTAAAAATTTATCCATTTTTTCTTTTCTTTTTTGAAACTAAATAATTTTTCAATTTATTGAACTTAGAAGAAAAAAAAAATGAAAAGATAAAGTAAAAGAAGAATATCTGATAATTGGCCATAAACTTATCCCTCTCTCTCCCCCTCCCTCTCTCTCTTTCTCCCTCTCTCTCTTTCTCCCTCTCTCTCTCTCCTTTTTTCCCTGCAAATAAAATAAGCCATAGGCTTGTTTTGTTTTTTGCATTTTTTTTTCCTGTACGAGTAGCAATTGGCATCGTTATTTTCATGATGTCATTTATTTCAAAAAGAGAAGAAAGAAAGGGGAAGAGAAAAAAAGAAAAGTATAATTAAAATAATAATAAAGAAACAAATAGTAAAAATTTTGCTATAGATTATTTAAATTTTAATAAATAATAATTAATTATCAAAATTTTTGTAATTAAAAAGATAAACTAAACATTTCATTTTTTTTTTTTAAAAAGGATATATAAATATGCATATGATTATATATCTGTTATCAGTGATAGCAATATGATAACAGTGTAATTAATTATCATAATTTTTGTAATTAAAAATAAACTTAATGATATATAAGTTTTCAAAAAAGATATATATTACATATATCTGTTATCAGTGATAACAACATGATAACAGTGTAATTAATTATCAAAACTTTTATAATTGAAAAATAAATTTAACGTTTTTTTTTTAAAAAAAGGGTTATATACTATATATATCTGTTATCAGTGATAATAATGTGATAATAGCATAACTAATTATAAAAATTTTTAAAATTGAAAAATAAACTTAATGTTTTTTTTAAAAAAACGGTTATATACTATATATATCTGTTATCAATGATAACAATATGATAACAGAATTATCATAATTTTATAATTGAAAATCTCTCTCTGTTACTAAAATTACAATTGAAAATATATGATAGTAGCATAATTAGTAAACAAAATTTTTATAATTGAAAAATAAACTTAGCATTTTTTAAAAAAGAATATATTATATATATATATCTATTATCAGTGATAACAATATGATAATAGCATAATTAATTTTCAAAGTTTTTATAATTGAAAAATAAACTTAACGTTTTTCTTTTTTAAAGAAAAATGAACATAAATATATGCAAAATGATTACATATATTTTTTTATCAGTGATAACAAAGTGATAATAGCATTAGTGATTGTTAATCGATAAGAATGGAATAAACAATCAAATAATCACTACAAATTGCAAACATTATCACAAATTGCATTTAAAATTTCCAATTAACTCAATTATTAAAATAATTGCTTCAAATAAATGAAATATAAATGGCATTAATGCTGATAATAAAATTTATTTATCTTTATAAAATACTTTATAAATTTAAATTAATCGTATTTTAATATAATACTTTATGAATTTAAATTAATGTTACTTTAATATAATACTTTATGAATTTAAATTAATTTTATCTTAATATAATAATACTTTATAAATTCAAGTTATTTTTATTTTAACAAAATACTTTATAGATTTAAATTAATCTTACCTTAATAAAATATTTTATAAATTTAAATTAATCTTATCTTAATAAAATACTTTATAAATTTAAATTATATAATATTTCTATCCGTTCATTAAAAAAAAATTATTATTTATATAATATTTTACAATATTTCATTAATTACATTTTGCTATCAAATAAATTAATTCTTTTTTTCATTCATTTTTGTTGAATTTAAAATGAAAGTTAAAAAATTTAAATTTAAATCTTTATTTTACTGTTGCAATTTAAATATGAAATTGAAATGACACAATAGAGAGGGAGGAAGAGAGTGAGGGAGAGGGAGAGAGAATAAATTTTAGATATAAAAATTAAGTGACATATTAGAGAGAGAGAAAGGAGGAGATAGGGAGAGAGAGAGAGAGGAAAGAATAAATTTTAAATATAAAAGAGATTAAATTTAAAATCTAAAATTGAAATAAGACAATGGCGAGGAAGAAAGAGATTAAATTTTAAATATAAAAATTAAATGACATAATAGAGCAAAAAAAAAGTGACTAAATTTTAAATGTAAAAATATGAAATGATAAAGTACAGAAAGAGAGAGAGAGAGAGAGAGAGAGAGAGAGAGGGGAAGAGAGAGTTCATTTAAATAATTATTTCAAATGAGTGAAATATAAATGTTATTAATGTATTATAAATGAAATATAAGTGGCTGATAATAAAATTAATTAATCTTATCTTAATAAAATATATTATAAATTTAAATTATAAAATATTTTTACTAATTTATAAAAAAAAAAAATTTTTTTTTAATTTTATAATATTTTACAATATTTCTTTATATAAAATTATATAATAATTTGCTTTTTTTTTCCGTAATATTTCTTTGAAATTTAGATAAATTATAAAATCTTTTCTCTTTTTGTTTACTTTCTTTTCCATTTCTGTTTTTTTTGATTTAAAAAAAAGAAAACAAATTTTATGATTGAGATGTTACATGAGATATGGGTGTTATTTCCGCTAAATTAAACTTTAAAATATACAAACAAATTTTAACAATTTATTATAAATGGAATATTTGAAACTAAACAAATAGATTGAAAAGGATTATATTTTTTTTTTTTCATAAAATAAAGAATCCAATTTAAAAAAAAAAAAGAAAAAAAAATCGGACTATATTGATTAATGAATGTTAATTTTTGACATTTCGTTTCGTTTTTTTTTTTTTTTTTTTTTTTTTTTCCTTTTTGCAATTTTTAAAAATTTATGCAATAAATAATGAATGCAAAAAAGAAAAGAAAAGAAAAAGTAGCATAAATGATATTAGCAATAGTATTAGTCAAATAAGAATGTAAAATTGTTTTAATGTAAAACATTGCTTATTGTTATTGTATTTTATTGTTAAATGTTGTTGAAAATTTTTGAGACAATTATTTTTTTTGTAGTTTAATATATTTTATTGATTGTATAAGTTTTTATTAATATTGAAAAAGTAACATAAATGATATTAGTAATAGTATTAGTCAAATAAGAATGTAAAATTGTTTTTAATGTAAAACATTGCTTATTGTTATTGTATTTTATTGTTAATTGTTATTGAAAATTTTTGAGACAATTATTTTTTTTTGTAGTTTAATATATTTTATTGATTGTATAAGTTTTTATTATTATTGAAAAAGTAGCATAAATGATATTAGTAATAGTATTAATCAAATAATAATGTAAAATTGTTTCTAATGTAAAACATTGCTTATTGTTATTGTATTTTATTGTTAATTGTTATTGAAAATTTTTGAGACAATTATTTTTTTTGTAGTTTAATATATTTTATTGATTGTATAAGTTTTTATTAATATTGAAAAAGTAGCATAAATGATATTAGTAATAGTATTAATCAAATAATAATGTAAAATTGTTTCAATGTAAAACATTGCTTATTGTTAACTGTTGTTGAAAACTTTTAAGATAATTATTTTACTTGCAAGGTTTTTTTTTTTTTTGTATTTTAATATATTTTATTGATTGTGTAAGTTCTTATTAATATTGATTAAATAATAATATAAAATGTTGTTGTTATAATATAAAACGATTATTTTATTGTTATTGTATTTTATTGTTAATTGTTGTTGAAAACTTTTGAGATATTTGTTTTATTTGTAAAATTATTTTTTCTTTCTACTTTAGTATATTTTATTGATTGTATAAGTTTTTTATTAATATTGATTGTAAGTATAAAAATTTACTTTCATATTACTTTTTTTTTGTGCTGTTGTAATTGTTTAAAAATTTAATTTAATATTTTTAACTTTTAAAATGTTCATATTAACTATATTGTTGGTATTAAAGTTCGAAGTAAATTTTTTTTTTCAATTTGGGTAATTAATTATTATACATATATAATATATACTTTTTTTTTTCAAATTATAAATTAAAAAACAGAAAAAAATTAATTTTTAAATTATAATTTATTAATTAAAATCTTTTCTAGCAATTTAAAAAGGAATATTTTTTTATTTGCTTACGTTTCTCTTTTTTTTTTCACAAAATTATCATCGAGTTTTAGAAATTTAGTAAATAATAAATCAAAAATCGGAAATCGGAAATGTATAGAAGAAAAATGGTACAAAAAATTTTTAATGAAAAAACAATAATAGGAAATTATTGTGAAACAATTACTCTTTTCTACTTGTTTATTCATCAAAAAGCAAGCATTCCGGAAGAAGCATTCCGGACCGGAAAGAAATTATATCGTTTTTTAGCATGGAAAGAGTATAAGTAAGAGTTGGTTTTACTTCTATTAAATACTTAAAACAAATTGTTTCTTCTAAAAGAAAAAATTTTACATATTTGTAATTAGAATTTTGACGATTAAACTGCTTTAATTTTTATTTAATTTGTAAATTTATCAAAAATTTCATTTTACTATTAAAAAAAAAGAAATGTTAAAAATTAAAAATTGATTTACTTGAAAACATAATAATATAAAGCAGTTATATTTTTCTTTAAAATTATTCGCATTCAA